AACAAGCGATTTCCTCAAACTACAGCGGCAATGTCGGATGGAATGTAACCCCGTCCATTTGATATCGAGCCTTCACCGACCTACGATTCTTGTGTGACGTCGGCAAACTTTGCGTCCAGCTTGCGTCGACTGAGATCGCTCGTCAGTCTTTGGAGAACAAGCTTTTCACCGAAGTGATGGAGGCAACAGGAAGACGGCCACTGTCAGTACGTGCATGCTCTGCACTTTCCGCTTGCTTTATCTAACTTGTGGTGTTGTGCGTAGTGCGTCGTTTCAAAAGAAAGATGCAGCCAGTACTGCTCCGGAGCTGGTCCGCGACTATCATCGGTGGATGGAAGATATCGATGTTCACGACCAGCTCCGGAGGCAACGCTACGGCGTACAGCTCGGCCACAAGACGAGAAAGTATTAGCAGAGCCTGTTTCTAGGGAATTTTGATATGGCGCTCGTCAACGCGTTAATTGTGTTTCGCCATCACTACAAAGTGAACAACAAGCGTCCGCCGAAGTACTACGTCTTTTTACTGGAGATGCTGCTAGCCGTAGCCTCCGGTGAAGAATACAAGCCAGGTTAGGTACGTTATGGTTGCTAAGTCAATTTACATGTTCGGGAAGACTGATGTATGTTGTCCAAGGCTGGCTGAAACCGAAGAGAGCATCGACAGCTCGAGAGAGAACACGACGTCTCCGGCGCGTGAAGGTGGCCCGCCATCGTCTGTAGCTGCCGCTGCATGCGACTTCGGTGGGCATCGACTGGATGAGAATCCAGACTCAGTGGACAACGAGCAGGGGCTCAAGAAGCGCCAGCGCTCCTGCAAAGTCTGTGCGTAGTACAAGATGAAGCCAAGGGGGTACACGAAATACTTCTGCCCCGAGTGCACAAGCAGGAATAAATGGTACATTATCTTTACGCTGAGGGAGAATATAATATGCGGTAACATTGCTACCCACAGCAAACACTTCTGCAACGTGGCGTGGGGCAGAGAGAAAATCTGCTTTAAAATGTGGCATGACGACTGGAGCATTAACAACAACATTCCGCGCAACTTGCTCCAAGTACACAAGCTGCGCGACCGTCTGCCTGTAGGGTGTGCAGGGAAGAAACGTCGGCGCCGGTTGTCTGCTGAGCGAGAGGAAGGGGATGGAAGCAAAGATTGCGAATGTGATCACGGCGCCGATAGGGAGTGGTCTTTCCAATGCGGAGAAGGGAACGTTCTGAGAGAGAGAGAGAGAGAGAGAGAGAGAGAGAGAGAGAGAGAGAGAGAGAGAGAGAGAGAGAGAGAGAGAGAGAGAGAGAGAGAGAGAGAGAGAGAGAGAGAAAGAGAGAGATAGAGAGAGAGAGAGAGAGAGAGAGAGAGAGAGAGAGACAGAGAGAGAGAGAGAGAGAGTGTGTGAAGATTAATTTTCCGCGCTTTAATGGAGGTGATGTTCAGGTTCTGAACGAGAGCCCTCCGCTCCTGTGTCGGTGTTGCCAGAAGGAGCGGACCCCTCAGCACGAGTAGTTTCGCA